GAATTTTTTTTACAATTTTCTTAATTTTTCAATTTAAAAACTTTAAAACTTGAACTCATTCTTGCCATTTATTCTAATGAAACCGAACTAGCCTGATGTAAATAATTATTTTTTACCTTAATTTCAATCTTAGGGCACCCCACTGAATTTTTCCTAGTTATAGGGTTTTATTTGATTATGTCGATCCTGCCCATGCTGTCTTATTAGCTTTGAACTAAATAAAAGCAAATCAAGCAAGTATAGCACATTTCATTGCGTCTCTAGCTTAGTGCAGCTCTTTTGCTTATGACAATTATGATATCCTTAACTGCCATCACTTCCTTCCGCAATTACATTTTTACCCAAATTTTTCATTTATTTACTTCTTATAATAAGTTAATTAGAACACTTTAAATTGATTAAACATTCCAGTTCCCTGCCATTTTGTTATAACAAATGCATATTTCAGTTTAATTAAGTTAGGTTCATTATCCTTCTTTTTTGTTGGTTTCCACCTACAGACCTTTCAAGAGTAAACTCACAAATATGATATACGAAGACCAAGCTGTTGTGGGCTATATTTTGGTCGCAGTCTTCTTTCGGTGTATAGTAGTCATTTCACTTTGCTTTCACAATTTGACCATATTGTCAGTACGGCCTAGAGGAACGCAACTTGTCCGGACTCCATAGTATGCATGGTATTTTCCAGAGCCGGACCGTGGACTTGATATATTTCCAGATATTTTGCCAGCATCGTAGTTTGCATCGTCTGTGGTGTTGTGCTAAGAATGGCAAGGCTTATTGAAGATGCCGGCGAAACGTCTAGCAATTTATTAAGTCCACAATTCGGCTCTGAAAATTATTATGCATACTATGGACTCCGGACTAGGTCAAATGGCTACTCATATGTGACGTCTATCTAAACAATTTTCAAAAACCGATCGTAATCTTTTGGTAATGTAAAGACTTAGGCGTTGCGCTACTTTTCACTGTCTCAGCCAGGGCTAAATATATGTTAATGTATTAAAGTACACTCTGGCTTTCTAATATTGTTAAACTCGTCAAATTGTGAAAAGGGGCTGAATGATTATTAATTTGGAGCTGTGACCGGAGTTTTGTGCGAATAAGTCCTTAACACATTCTCTTTCGACTCCGACGAATTCGTGCTGAGCTTATGTCCGTCATGTGAGGGATATTATCAGAGCAGGACACCATGC